GGATAGATAGATAGATGATAGATAGATAGATAGATGATGGATGATGGATGATGGATGGATGGAGATAGATGATGGATAGATGATGGATAGATAGATGCTGATAGATAGATAGATAGATAGATAGTAGATAGATGATAGATAGTAGATAGATGATGGATAGATGATAGATAGATAGATGATGGATAGATAGATAATGATAGAATAGTAGATAGATGATGGATGATAGATAGATAGATGATGGATAGATAGATAATGATAGATAGATAGATAGATAGATAATGATTGATTGATAGATCATAGATTGATAATCCTGTAAGAATGTCCTGGAAGAGTTACAGATTCTCCAATAGAGATAGATAGATGATAGATAGATAGATGATAGATAGATGGATAGATGATAGATAGATAGATAGATGATGGATGATGGATCATAGATTGATAATCCTGTAAGAATGTCCTGGAAGAGTTACAGATTCTCCAATAGAGATAGATAGATGATAGATAGATAGATGATAGAGATAAATGATTGATAGAGATAGATAGATGATAGATAGATATAGATAGATAGATGGATGAGAGGTAAATGATAGATGGTAGAACAAACACTAAAGATGTACTCCAAATATTTACTATTACAAAATTATATTAAGCATTTTCTTCTTTTCATTTGCTTTCTAAATTTCCCATAATAAGCATTTGGTTTTGTCTTTTTTTGTTGTTTTGCTTTTGTTTTTTGGAGACAAGTCTCACATAGCCCAGGCTGGCCTCAAGCTTGCTATGTAGTCAAGGATGACTGAACTGATCTTTCTGCCTCCACCTTCCAAGAGATAATGATTGATTGATAGATCATAGATTGATAATCCTGTAAGAATGTCCTGGAAGAGTTACAGATTCTCCAAAGTCTCCAGCTACTCACTGAAAGCACTGCACGAATACACTAACTAGTCAATGTGTATTCCTTAGATTAGAAGAAATGACTCCTGACTCTGCCTCCTCCTCTATCCTGCTCAGAGCTTTCAGAGGTCGCAGTGGGGTTTGGGAAGAGAGGGCTTGGTGGTGATTTGTTTCCTAATGCCCCCATCATGTTCAATTTGAGATTGCTACTGCCACCAAAATGGGCTAAGGCAGAAAAAGATGGAAGAGAATTAAAAGTGTGTGTGTGTGTGTGTGTGTGTGTGTGTGTGTGTGTGTGTGTGTGTGTGCCCTAACACTGCTCCAGCCACATGTCTGCAAACAATTTAGAGCCATTTAGTCCTGCATCAAAAGGACTTGTTACCAGGACAGGAAATTGAACACTAACCTGCGCAGGTGCTCTCAAGAAAGCATAATCTTCACAATGAAAAATGAAGACCAGAAAGATGAATCTTGAATGCCTCCATTTGCATGCGGGACTGCGGCGCGCTCTGGGCAGGCACTGCGTTCAAGCAAATAAAGCAGGGCTGGGTGTGAGCTGGGAAGTCTCCATCCTCACAGTCCAAGGGAGCCCCGCATGACCTTGACCCTTGTGTGTTTCAGGGGAGAGGTGCCGAAGTTTCATTGAACTCACACCACCAGCCGAGAGAGGTGAGAAAGGACTACTGGAATTTGCCACGTTGCAAGGCCCATGTCACCCCACTCTCCGATCAGGAGGGGAGTGGTTGATGGAGAACGCTTTCCTCCCCGACTTGCCTTTGGGGCCCGTGGCAAGTATGTGTTACTAAAGAGTTTAGTAACCACTGGGGGCCTCTCTGGATCTAAACTGCGCTGTGACTTCTGGCTTTTCTCGTCCTCTGAGCCGCAAAGGATGATAGGAAATCTAGACCTAACTCCCATTCATATGTAGGAATGTAAAACCCAAACAGCTGGGATAATTGAAGTTCACAAATAGAAAAAACACCTGCAGTTCTAACCAAGAAAACAACTTGAAAAGCTTATGGAGGTTTTTTGTGGTTTTGGATTTTTGTTTTCTTGAGATAGGATCTCAGGTAGTCAGGCTGGCCTTGAACTCTCTACCCTGCTGCCTCTGCCACCTAGTAGCGGGATCACAGGTTGGTGTGCCACCATGCCTAGCTTTTAAAAGAATAAAATAAGCTGATGTGGTGGCACTCACCTTTAGTCCCAGCACTCAGGAGGCAGAGGCAGGTGGATTTCTGTGAGTTCCACCAGCTTGGTTTACATAGTGAGTTCCAGGCCACCTGTGCCTACAGGGAGATCCTGTCTCAAAAAGACCAAAAGTTAAAATAAAATAAATAAATAAAATAAAAGGGGAAGGCATGAGAGGTTAAGGGAAAGGAGAAAAAAAGGAAATAAAACTTATCCCCCCAATTAAGGAAAAGGACAATTTAGCTAAGTTCTGTCCCCACGTGGTTTATGAAAATGGGACGATCTTTCTTATGAGTCACCTTAGAAGTATTTACAGCCCATCACATTTGATGATGAAACGTAGGTTCTGCACAGAAACGAGGTTCTAGTTTCAGCTTTGTCTCTCTCCCCCTCCTCCTGTCACCTCTGTGGGCTCCCGAAGCTTGTGTTTATGGTGGTTATTAACTGTCAGGGTGGGGTTCCTTCTCCTGTGGCCTCTCACAGAGATCCTCTGGCTGTCACTCGGAGTCCAAATCACCTACATTGGACTTCAATTCATAAGCTTCCTCCTGCTACTGACTGGCCTGCTGCTCACCGGGAACCCTGGCTGCGGACTCAAGCTGAGCACCTTTGCTGCTATTTCCTCTGTCCTATCAGGTGAGTGACCTCAGGTGAGTGACCCTAACCCTAACCCTAACCCTAACCCTAACTTAGTAGTGCACATCTATAATCTCAATATTCCTGCAGTGAGATGGGAGGTGGAGGCAGGAGAATTCCTGGAAGCTCATAGGTCAGCTAACCTGGGGTATGCAGTGGTAAACAGCCTGGTATGGTAGCGCATGCCTTTAATCCCAGCATTCAGGAGGCAGAGGCAGGCGAATCTTTGAGTTCAAGGCCAGCCTGGTCTACATAAAGAGCTCAAGCCCAACCAGTACTGCATAGCATAGTGAGACCCTGTCTCAAAAAACCAAAACCAAAAGAAACAAGAGAAATACTGCCTCAAAGAAGGTAGAAGACTGACACATGAGGTTGTCCTTTTTGACCTCCACACATGTGCTGAGACAAGTGTGCTCCCACACTCACACACACATATCACATACACACATATACACATGAAGGTGAAATAAAGGAAAACTATTGGGGCTCAGACTGCAAAAGCTCCACCAGCAACATCACAGCTAAATCTACTGTCAGATCAACAAATAGGAACGGACAGTACTGCCATCACCTGGCTTTAACTGGAGTTTGGCCTCATGGCAGGGAGTTTGAGGGGTTTGGCTCTCCAAGTCTTTAGGAATGTGTTTGATACAGTTCCCTGGAGTCATTTTTTCTTTCAGGAATCCACCCAGCTTCTGTTTGTGTCCAGTTTCCATTATAAACTGTCCTGTGCCAAGAACCACAGTTTTCATAGTAATCAAATTCCACTAGTGCAGTGTGTAATACCTTCAGATCTGTAGTAACTATTTTCATGAATGACTTAACTTTGGGGACCCTAAGACTACTAAGCTCAAAACAAAGGCAGGTGGAGGAGGGATGATTACTTCCAGCATCAGAGTAAAGGAAACTTTTTGGCCAAGTACATGTAGGAATAAAAGAGGAAGTTGTGGGTGCATTAGGCTATCCCACCACATAGAACAGAGCTATGGCTATATGGGATCTTAGAGGTTTTACAAGGGTAAACATACAAACACAACACTTCCACCACCATGACACACAGCACAACAGCTATAAAAGATCACAACACTGACAATCAAATCAATGAAATTAAATGCAGCGAACTCCTCATCTGATCTTAGTCCTTGTGAATCATTCTCTTTGATTACAAAATGGAGTTCTCCTGTCCACGGTAAACCTACCAGCAGCATGGTAGATAGCAACATACTCAGGCCCCTAAGTCCCTGAAAAGGCACAGGCCTAGGCTGTAGTAGGAAAGATGGCGGTCTTCTTTCAATATAGTCAGGCCCTTACTGTCCCTTCTTTCTGTTTGTCCCCAGCACTGCCTGGGTTTCCTTCACCTGCTGCATGGCATCAGCAGCCACCACCTTCAACATCTACACAAGGATGGCTCTGGAGTTCAAGTGCAGGCACAGTAAGAGCTTCAACGCAAATCCCAATTGCCTGGTGCATCACCACCAGTTTCCCTCCACAGCTGCCCACGTAGGGGGACCTTTGACCAGTTGCCATCAGTACCCCAACCACCCTATCTGCTCTGTCTCCAAAGGTGTTGACTTCTACTCAGCGCTCCAAGACAAGGGATTTCAACAGGAGACCAGCCAGGAGCTAAGAGAAGTGGCTGGGTCATGTGTAGAAGAGCAATGTTAGGAGCTAAGTGGATTGAAGGAGAGGGTTGAACCCTTCCATATGTGTTTGCTTAATAACATCTGCTTAAGCCAAAGTGTCTCCTGAGCATGGTTTTTAGAAGCTAATAGTAGAGTATCTTCAAGCTAAGTCCAGAGTGGCTTTACCACTGCACCTTTCCCTCAAAGCTGTCCTGTTTTATCCATCTCTTGTATCTTTGTATCCACAATCCCCAGCCCTTCTTTACTGATTGCTTATGCACTAGGTTCTGGACTAAATACTTTTTAGAAGGCAAGTGAAATACAGCTCCTGCCTTTAAGGGTCTGATGAATCTGGTCATCTGTCTAGAAATTGAAGAAATGCAGGTAAGCAAATTAGTGGTGGTTTATCTGTGTCTTTCACATTTGCATACTAGTGTCTTATGTCCACATAGTATGTAGTAATAAAAGTACTGTTAAATGGGCTGGTAAGATGACTCAGTAGCAAAAAGCACTTGCTGTGTAAACCTCGCAGGCTGAATTCCACCCCTGCATCCCATGGTGGAGGAGAGAACAGACTTCCAAAAATTGTCCTGTGATCTCCATGTGCACATTGTGGCACACACATGCCCACACTCACATGCATCATAAACACAATAATAAAATTTAAAAAAATAAAGATATTATTAAATATTACCCTTGAAGGGCCTGGCATTGGTAGCACATGCCTTTAATCCCAGCAGAGGCAGAGGAAGAGGCAGGTGGATCTCTGTAAGTTCAAGGCCAGCCTGATCTACCTACTAAGTTCCAGGCCAGCCAGGGCTGTATAGTGAGACCCTGTCTCAAAACAAAAACAAAAACAACCCCCGCCTCAAAAAAACAACTAAACTAACTTTAAGCAGGGCCTGATGGCACATGCTTTTAACCCCAGCACATGGGAGGCAGAGACAGGCCAATGTCTGTGTAATGGAGGCCAGCCTGGTCTCCATAGTGAGTAGCCAGCTATGGCTACAAGGAGGCCCTGTCTCAAAAAGACCAAAAAATACATTTTTATATAATATATATTGTTTTATATTATCACATTAATATATGATATAGGACATGATCTATTATAATATATATTACCCTAGAAGCCATTAGGAGGGTAGAATGACATGAGACGTCTCCTATAGCCTACAGGGTCAAGTTCACTTGTAGAAATGGGCCTCTCAGGTTCCCAGAGGAGACTAAGTGAATGACTTGGGCAGAGGCTCCTCTGGAAACCCTCCTGCTCAGGAGTTCTCAGAAGCTGGCCATACTATTTCCTCTAATAGGAAGGAGACCGTCCTTATTAGCAGGAAAAACGAGAACGCTACACAGGTATATTCCTGTACACAGCATTTATTTGTTCTGTTACAGTTCACATTTCAAACAGTGCTTTCTGACAACAGACCAGCTGGCTCCTCTTTCATAAGGACATGGACAGCAGTTCACATTCCTGGGGTTAGCTAGTATCACCACACCACATCTTTGAGACTGGTGAAGATGTTGTGGCGGGCAGAGGGGAGGACTTGGAAGGAAAGGAGAGGCTGAGAGGAAGGAAGACCCTTGCGTTTGAAGAGCAGATGACTACTTCTAAGCAGTAGTCATGTCAGTTTTGCTGGCACCATGTTGAGTGCTTCAAATCTTGGATATGTGGGTAGGCAGCTGTCCACAAAGAACAGGAAGTTTAGGGAGGCATCTGATAGGAGACCAGCACCCACACTGGTCAGATGAAGTTTCCTCAATCCTCAGCCACCTTTCTGTACAAGCTGTGGCAGGAAGTAAGCCTAGAGTTTTCACTGCACTTAACAAGGAAGAGATCCGAGCTTCTAATAAGGAAAGGTTGTATTTCTCTAAACACCAAGAATTCTGTGATATTGTCTGTCTGAGCTTCCTCATATCTGAGACTTAGCCTACATAAACACAGTGCTCTGCCCCCAAACAATCCCACCCAACAGATCTTCACTGGGCATCTTTGCATTCACTGCTTCCTACACTGGCTGGCTTCCCAGAGTATCAACACAGCAGAGAACACATCATGTCTAGGGGGATCGCCTAGGCCATAGGACCTAGGCCTGACCATGCAACTGTCACTTCTGTCCACTATAGACTACTCAGAAGTCTATAAGCCAAACTGTAGCCTACCCCCTTTTACCTAAGGAAATTCAACTTCCTAGAAATGAATCTAGAATAATCTCCAGACTCCACGTACCTCTGAACTATTCCCCTTCCCCAAAGCTAAGCTTGTCCCCACATGACTTCCAAATGTTGAAACCAAGTATACTTTTAGGGTCTTAAGACAGAGGGGCCAATAAGCCTGGTAAGGCCAATCTGCAGGATAAACGGCTACCAACTTCCTGTCAAACCGTAACACCTATCAGTGGACAATTCATAGATATCCCCTTAGATCTGGGATCTGCAGTGTTCTGGGGTTTCTTCATTAACACAAGCTTAAAAAATGCAAAACCAAGTAAGGAGAAAACCTAGTTTTCATTGAGGAACAAGTTATCAAAATTACTCAGGAAGAAAAGTACGTTTTCCATTGGCTACCATGGGACTATTTGGCATATTAGACAATGACCTAGAAATTGAGGAGAATCAAACTTAATAAAGGCCACAAATCTATACAGGAGAAGGGGGAAGTAAGTGGTAGAGATAATTCTAAAGAACATAATCATTATAAAAGTTACAGTATTTACATAAGAATTTTCTCAGAATATAATGCTTCAAAGGCTCCACAAGGAAGAGTACAGGGCAAAATAGTTGCATACCAGACTTCAAGAAGCAAAAGTCCAGAAACATATCCCTGAATAAAAGAGAAAGCAAAGGGGAAAGAGATGACGAGGATGCTCTAGAGAAAGTGCTGAGGCAGCAGAGCAGAGATGCAGCCAGGACAAGGCCATGGGATTCTTCCAACGCTTGAGTGAAGGACAGTGCGCACAGAGCCTTCGGTAACTACTGTAGAGCAAAGATCACAGCTGCAGAGCCATCAAAAACTCATAGGGTACAACATAGGGACCTGGTCAAAGGACAGTCACCAAAACCCTCTCTTGATCCCGTTGTGATAGAAGCAGGTTTAAAATATAAATGGACAGTCTAGGAAAAGGGCGATGAAAAGACCTGATGACTCAGTCCGCTTCCAGTGTTTTTTTTTTTTAATCTGTAGCTGAGGAGGAGTCACAGAATAGGTGGAAGGAATGCAGAGAATGATGGGTGATCCTCAGAATCAGAGGTAGGCCATCTGGACGCATCAAGATGACCGAACCAGATGAATTTCAGGTCAAACAATGGAATCCCTGAAGCTTGGGGCATAGCTTGAAAATAACACTATCATAACACACACACACACACACACACACACACACACACACACACACCTCGCGTCATAATGTAAAAACAATGTCCTGCTTAGAGACCACTGGATTTCCCCAGTGAGAATATAAATTAGATGTACAAAAAAATAAAACACCTATGAGATTCACATTCCCAAACTATCCACACAGAGTTCCTAGAGGGAGTTAATGCAGGGATTGGGAAGGTAGTAAGATACCCCAGCTAATTGGGTCATGCTGTTATCAAAGAGCTCCAACAGGCTCCCAAAGTGCAGTGATCAGTGCTGAATGACCCTGAAGTCATCTCTCCAGAGAATTGATTTTACATGGACAGGAGAGACGGGACCCACTCAGTTCAGTTCTTCTGAAAGATTCCATCACACTAGATCTGTGGGAAAAGGCAAGGTAGAATGATTAATATATTACCCTTTTGTCAAAGTAGAGATTTTCACAAAAATGGGTGAAATCTAAAGTTCGGAAGGTTCTCTGGGGCCTGAGAGATGGCTTAAGGGTTAACAGCATTTGCTGTAAGCAGAGGTCCTGGGTTCAGTTTCCAGCACCCACATCAGGTAGATCACAACTGCCTGGACCTGCAGTTCCAGAGGAATCTGATGCCCTTTAAGCCCCTAAGAGCCATCTGCATGCACATGGTGCACATAAACTCACGCAAACATATACACAAATTAAAAAAAAAAAAAAGTTTCTTCATTCTCCTATCCTCTTATTTTGCTCTAATAGTTTATGAGGCCCAGTGACTTTGTCCTTTATGACAGGCTCTTTCACTGTGAACTTGATCAAAGTGGTTTTTAGGGGAAAGGAGTGGCATTTTCAGCAAGATAAATCTGTGTGTTATGTAATTGCTACAAGCCCTGTATCGTATCAGCATTATTGGTCCCTACCCAGAAAATACCAGAAGGATCCACCCTTCCAGTCACTGGGATGATTAAAAAAGCATGAGCCCACATTTATATTTTTATATTAGGTTTTTTCGAAATAGGGTCTCTCCCTCTCTAGTAGCCCCAGCTGGCTTGGAACTCCCTATATTAACCAAGCCAGCCTCAAGCTTTCAGAGAGTCACCTGCCTCTGCCTCCTGCATGCTTGGATTTAAAGGTGTCTGCCACCACACCAGGTAAAGAAAAAATTTTTTTTCACTTTAAGTGTATGAGTGTTTTGCCTGCATATATATAAGTGCATCATATGTATGCAATGACTACAGAGGTCAGAAGAGGGTGTCAGATCCCTGGAACCGTCAGTTGTGGGCCACCTGACATGGGTGCTCTTAACCACTGACCCATCTTTTCAGATCTGAGCCTACATTTCTAAATGTCCCCTAAAGGAGACAGTACCACTTCCAGCTGAAAACAATGAACTGAGAACTAATTCTTCATGGTCAAGAAGCTCCCAGGAAAAACAGTTGATCATTCTGCAGGGCTGGGGATCATATTAAGGGCCTTGTTGAATGTAGGTAAGTACTCTACCACTGGGCTATAGCCCCAGCCCTAACAATTAGTTATTTCTAAAACATTTATTTTTATATGTATGAGTGTTTTGTCTACATGTATGTAAGTACACCCATGTCATTGCAATGCCTGTAGAGGCCAGAAGAGGGTGCTGCATCTATAACTGGAGTTACAGATGGTTGTTAGTTGTCATGTGGGTGCTGGGAACTGAACCTGAGTCCTCTGCAAGAGTTATCTCTTCAGCTCCTGAGCAAATGATTCTTCATAGACCTACTCCAGAAAGCTCCCACTTTCCCTACTTTCTAAGAAGCAAAGTTACATGTGTCTTAGGCCATCAGGAGTAATAATCTGGGCCAGCGAGATGGCTTAGTAGATACAGGTGCTTTCTACCGACTCACAACCTGAGTTAATCCCCATGTCCTCATTGCTCTGACAAAATATTCTGACCAATACCAACTTGGGGAGGAAGGGGTTTTTTGGGTTTTTTTTTGTTTTTCAAATATTTTTTATTGTTTTTATTTTATGTATATGAGTGTATTGCCCGCATGTATTGTGAGTGCACCTGTGTCATGCAATGCTGCGGAGGTCAGAAGAGGGCTGCAGATTCCCCTGGAACTGGAGTTAAGGACAGTTTATAGCTACCATGTGGGTGCTGGGAACCCGGGTCCTCTGTAAGAACAGTCAGTGCTCTTAACCCCTGAGCCATTTCTCCAGGCCCAGAAAGGGTTTATTTTATCTTGCATCTCCTGGGTCACAGTTCATCAGGGAGCCCAAAGTAGGAACTCGGCAGGAACCTGGAGGCAGGAGCTGAAGCACAGGCCATAGAGGAATGCAGCTTACTGGCTAGCTTTCCTGGCCCCTGCTCAGCCTGCTTTCTTATGGAACACAGGCCTACCTGCCCAGGGGTGGCACCACCCACAGTGGGCTGGGCACTCCCACATCCCTCAACAATCAAGAAGATGCCCCTCAGACATGGCCACAGGCCAGTCCAATGGAGGTAATTCCCCAACTGAGGCTCCCTCAACCCAGGTGTGTCCAGTTGACACTAATGCTATCCAGCACACCCCAGGATCTACGTGGTAGAAAGAACTCCCACAAGTTGTCCTCTGGTATCCATACGTGTCAGGACACATGTGGGCCCATATATACACATAAATGTAAGTTTTAATTTAAAAAAGTATCTCAAAAGCTATGCACCTGGTAGGGAGAATCAACAAACTTTATCCTGGACAGGAATCTTCGCAGCTCTCCACGGCCAATTTTCGGGGTGGTCTCCTTCAGCTGGACCATCTGGCCCTCCATGAGTGCCCAGCGCAGACTAAGCTTGCTGACCACCAGAGATGTGGAATGCCCCTCAGGGCTGGGCCCTGTTGTCCTGGTAACATAAAAGGCATCTTTCCAGATGTCGTTGATTCCAACTGAAGGACAAAAATAAGAAGCAGTTAACAAAGACAGCTAACAAGATTGTGGCTCAGGCAGTTAAAGAAGGCAACTCCTAACAGGAGAGTGGCTTAGGTCAGCAACAGGTCCAGTCACTTATCTCACAGATTCAAACAAAACAATCAGCTGAGCACATAACATGCTGAGCAGTGAGCCGGACGGTAGAGCAAAGAGATGGGAGATGGCACAACTAGCACAGCCGCTTGTTCTTCAAAGTATTTGTACCTTCTCTGTTCAACCCAACTCATCAAATCAGAGAAAGTACCCAGCATGGCAGGCATTTGGTAGAAAAGTAGGCCCCAAAGACCACAAAGCCCAAGACAGTGCATGGTTCCCTAAGCACTGTAGCTACTTAGGGTGGCTTTGGTCTCCTCCTTTCCTGCCTTGGCCTTCTGACTGCTGGAATAACAGGCATGAGGCCCTACACCTGGCTGACTGCCTTCTTAACAACAGTCGTTGGCAGTTGTGTGATCTGCATGAGATCACCTTTTCTTTTCCCACAATGCTTTGCTCATCCTCAGGAACTGGACAAAGGCAAGCTCCCTGGGGCCTCACTTAATACACTGTCATCTTGAACCAGTTCCCTCTCAGTCTATTTTAGCTCATCCTGCCTTTTCTTTTCCTCCACTGCTACCCTCCTCTCCTCCTCCGCCCAAGGTTTTAGGTACCTGCAGAGCTTGGCTCCACAGACCATGTGGAGGATCAGGGCAGATTTGGCCTAGCTTGTTGAGCAGCCTTGAACTGGCTCTGTACCCAAGGATGCTCTTGAACTTCTTGACCCTCTTGCCTCCACCACCCAGTACTGGGATTCCAGGAACCCCCAGTCAGTGGACAGGTGTGCATGCACGTGCCAAATCAGCTGTTATTCCTCCATGAAGCCCAGTAGAGAGTCACAAGCACTGCTTCAACTCAAGGTAAAAAGCTATAAGTAGCAAGTCCACAAGAGGCAAGAGAGTGTGTAAAGACATGAAGGAGCTTGGAGTGGTAGTTGCACCCCAACATCCCACCACTCAGGACGTAGGGGCAGGAGGATCAGGAGTTTAAGGACATCATTGGTTACATTGCCAGTTTGAGGCAAGCCTGGGCTATGAGACCCTGTCTCAACTACCTCTCAAAAAAAGGACACGGGAAATCTGGCTAGGCTGGTCTTCCTCTTTATTCACCCATCAAGAAGAGGCCCAGCGTCTATGAGGAAGGAGACAATTGGTACCAACAGACAGCAATGGCTCAGTTCCCAAGGCTTTGGATTCCTGTGACATCTCTAATGTGTGATCCCAAGTTTGCTTTCTAGTATTATTTTTTAAAACATTTTACGTATATGAGTATATTGCCTGCGTGTATGTAACTGCACCCATGTTGTGCAATGCCCATGGAGGCCAGAAGAGGGCATTGAATCTCCTGGAACTGGAGTTATAGATGGTTGTTAGCTGCCATGTGGGTGCTGGGAATCAAACCCGGGTCCTCTGCAAGAACTACGAGTGCTCTTAACCACTGAGCCATCTCTCCAGCCTGGCTTTATAGTATATTTAGAAAGACATATAAAGCAGAATACCTTCAAATGTTAACAGGGGTTCTGAGTAGCCAACTTAGGGGCAATTTTCTCCTTTGGTTTTTCTATTGACTTCAATTTCTATGCAATGTGAATGTTTAATATTTACAGATGAGCAATGCCCTGAAAGAAACATAGCCCACCCCCACCATACCCCATACACTAACTTCAAATCCTAAGCCCCTGTAGGGCCAAGCACAATGCCTCACACACAGCTGAACGCATGCAGCTGAGGCTCAGTGAGTGCCTGTTTATGAGAGTTCCATCATCACCACCCTAGAGCCCTCCTGGAATGGGGGACACGCTTCCTCCTCAGCTTTCAGGGCATGCAGAGGGAGCCCTCCAGCAGTGCCCCCTGGTTCCAGGGACACCAAGAAAATGCTACTACACCTCCTGAAAATCCCATACCCTTCTCTCTGTGGGGCAAGGGCATCTTCACACAGCCAGGACACAATTTCTCATGCCCCAGAGACTCACCCTCTGAAGCTGTCACTATGCCAGTAGCATTGGCCAGGTCCAGGAGGATAGAGGGGAAGGCTGGGTGCAGGAGGTAAAGATGGTAAAGGTCCGGGGACTCAGCTCTTGGGATGGCATCCTGACAAGAGTCACAGGAAAGAAGAGCACAGGTGACTATACATTCTCACAAAGGAAATCCTCAAAGGAACAGGTGAGGGGAGAAGGTGCTGGTCAGCCTCCCTCCTAATCCCAACCAGGGGGATGCATCTGAAAAGACACATATAGGACACATAATTTCACACAGCTCAAAACACTGATTCACCATTTACTCCTTCAAACCATCATCTACAGTCAAAAATATGCAAGGAAGGCTGGCAAGATGGCTCAGCAGTTAAGAGCACTGGCTGCTCTTGCAAAGGACCAGAGTTCAGTTCCCAGCACCCACATGGCTGCTAACAACCATCCATAACTCCAGTTCCAGGGGACCTGTTGGGAGCTGTTAGTCTATTATGTACATTGAGCTGTGGCAGGCTTGTTTACTGAGTTTGTGTTATGCACACCAGTACCTAATCTGCCTAATCAGGAGGAATGTGTTTATATGGAGAGCCTCACAATACCTGACCTGGAGGCAATAGTGGTAAACAAAAAGATCAAAGAAGCCTTTGATCTGACCGCTCCTTGACCCTCAGATACAGGTGGGGAAAAACAGCTGCTGTGACTAATTGAGTCTTCTGTATAAAAAGGCAGAGCTGAAATAAACCGGGGCTGCAGTCACTACTGTCAGCCCTCCCAAGCATCTTTTCTGTCTCTTGTTTTTTCTTTCAATCCTCACTCCCCCTTTCAGGTACTGTCGATCTTGGCCGGCTGGCACCAGCAGGGACCCAATGCCCTCTTCTGTCCTCCAAAGGCACTGCACATATGGGTGCACTCACATGCATGCAAAATACTCATACACACAAAATAGAATAAAAATTTAAAACTATGTAAGGGGAGAGAGAGAAAGAAGAGAAAGAGGAGAGAGGGGAGGAAGGAGAAAGGGAGGGGAGTAATACTTCCAAATGTTAACTGGAAGGAGGGAAGGAAAGAGGAGGAAGAAGAGAAGGGAGGAAGGAAACCTGTATGCCCCAGGAGTCTGCTGTAGATAGTCTATCTTCTGCCTATGGCAGAGCTGGGTACTCAGTCATCCTAACAGCTGGTGAGGCTGTGTAGAGAGAAAAGCTATTTCTGAACAGTGTCCAAAGACATTTCCTTTCATTAGATGCCAAAGCCAGCTGCAAGGGGCTCAGGTAGCTCTCTCCTAGCATGTATAAAGCCCTGGGTTTGATCGTAATGGCAAACATCGCAAAAACTTTATCAACTCCTGAAAGAAATAACTGATTGACCAGCAGAAGCAAATCATCAGTAACAAAAATTTCCTAGTCTGGGGGCTGGAGAGATGGTTCAGTGGTTAAGAGCACGAGCTGCTTTTGCAGAGGACCTGGGTTCAATTCCCAGCACCCAACTGATTGACCAGCAGAAGCAAATCATCAGTAACAAAATTTCCTAGTCTGGGGGCTGGAGAGATGGTTCAATGGTTAAGAGCACTAGCTGCTCTTGCAGAGGACCTAGGTTCAATTCCCAGCACCCACATGGCAGCTAACAACCATCTGTAACTCCAGTTCCAGGGGATCAAATGCCCTCTTCTGACCTCCTCGGGCATTGCATGACACAAGTGCACTTAAATACACTCACACTGGCTACTCCCCTCTCTCAGAGCTGCTTGGATCCCCACAGACAGCATAGGGCCTCAGCAAGTGCAGACTCAGAATGTGCTGCATTGGATAGTCAGGTGGACTTACAGCTGAGTCTCAGGTCCTTGTGCTAGGGAATCTTGCTTCACCCATCCCACCCAAATACTGCAGTGTAACCCAGAAAGTCTTCTAAAATCAGCCTTCTAGATGTCAGGTCTTCTCTCCCATGACTCCCACTAACCTCTCAGTGTGAGCCTACTCAGCATCCCGCTTTGAATGCTCTGCCCTCTCATCCTCTCTACTGGTTTAAGTCTCACAGTCTGGTCTTAGGAAACCTCTGCCCAACAGTCATAATGATGTCTCCTCTTCCACAGCAGCATACTCCTCTGTGGATCTGAACCTAGTACCTTGAGAGGAGTTTTTCTCACGCAGCCCCCTCTGTCAGCAGCCAGTAGTTAGGGGCTATAGTCTGTGTTCATTATTGAGCAAAGGAGGGAAACCTGGCTCAGGAGGATATGAGAGGACAAACCTGTTTCCACTCAACCCTAGATGGTGATTGGTCAAATAACCTCCTGAGTCCCACACCAACCTGCTGTTGGACAAACTGAAGAAGGTAACCATCCACCCTACCTTCTATCCCTCCCCTCCGCTACTTTCCTTCGCTCCCCCTCCCCCATGGCTCACTCACAGAACTGGGAGATGCAACTGACAGCGCTTCTGCCCAGAAAAGGAAGACTGACTTCCGGTCTGAAGTAATTGCTGAAGTGGTTGGTGTTTCTTTCATGTGACATGGAACACTGTAACTCCAAGTAACAGAGCCAGAAGCACCGTCTACCAACATCATCTACAAAAGAGAAGGCAGAGAAAATACAGCCTATCTTTGGTAAAGTGGCAAGTCAAGAAAACACATGCTTTCCACTCAACCCTAGATGGTGATTGGTCAAATAACCTCCTGAGTCCCACACCAACCTGCTGTTGGACAAACTGAAGAAGGTAACCATCCACCCTACCTTCTATCCCTCCCCTCCGCTACTTTCCTTCGCTCCCCCTCCCCCATGGCTCACTCACAGAACTGGGAGATGCAACTGACAGCGTTTCTGCCCAGAAAAGGAAGACTGACTTCCGGTCTGAAGTAACTGCTGAAGTGGTTGGTGTTTCTTTCATGTGACATGGAACACTGTAACTCCAGGTAACAGAGCCAGAAGCACCGTCTACCAACATCATCTACAAAAGAGAAGGCAGAGAACATACAGCCTATCTTTGGGAAAGTGGCAAGTCAAGAAAACACATGCAAAAAAATTAAAAAATTAAGACAAACCCCTAAGACTCTCAGATAGCAAATATTCAGTTCTCCCTCAGTGTGTGTGAGGCATAGGTCTCAGCATCCTGACACCCTAATCAACAGATGCCAATATGCACAAAGCCTCTCATGACCTCACATATATGTAAATCATCTCTGGATTACTTACAATACCCTAATACAATGTAAATGTCAGATCAATAGTTGTTATTCTGTATTGTTTAAGGAATAGTAAAAAAGTCTGATGCTTTTCAACTACTTTTAATCCACAGTTGGTTGTTGTGATGGTTAATCTAGATTGCCAACAAAAAAAAACTAGGCCAAAAGATAAAATAATAAAAACAATAAAAATAGGGGCTAGAGAGATGGATCAGCAGTTAAGAGCACTTGCTGCTCTTCCAGAGGGCCCAGGTTTGGTTCCCAGCACCCAGATGATGACTAAAAACTGTCCATATTGGGTGTGGTGGCGCACACCTTTAATCCCAGCACTTGCGAGGCAGAGGCAGGTGAATCTCTGTGAGTTCAAGGCCAGCCTGGTCTATATAGTGAGTTCCAGGACAGCTGGGGCTACAGTGAGACCCTGTCTCAAAAAGACCAAAAAAAAAAAAAAAAAACCCTGAAAACTGTCCGTAACTCCAGCTCCAGGGGATTCGATGCCCTCTTCTGGCCTTTGCAAGCATTGCATGCACGTGGTGCATACATGCAGGCAGGACACTCATACACGTAAAATAAAGATAATTAAAAATAAATAAAAAACAATAAAAACTTAAAAAGCTAAGACAATTACTTAAAAATTAAAACTATTAATTCTGCCTTTAACATGAAATGAATGAACACTGTCCATCCATGCATCACATCCTCACAACACAACCTCACATAAAAGCCACAAGTGGACCCCATGTTCTGCATCCGTGAACCTGCTCTACCGGTTTGTCTCTGAGCTCTGGTCTTGGTGGCTCTAACCAGGCATTCATTCCCATCCACTAAATCCACCCTTAAATACCCTACCTATATTTCCTTCGTTTATTGGAAGTCTTCCATTAAAATCCAGTCACCGCTGATCCCCATCCCATCTGAAAGCTTAGGTATACTTGTATCAGGGTGTGACATTTATTTATTCCTGCCTCTCCCTGTGTAGACATGTTAGAAGGCTCTGCCTGCCAGCTGTATATCAGAAATCCAGAAAGAACTCCTTCACAGGAAGATTAGTCTAGAAAATCAACTAATGATGTGAATTTTAGCACTGAACTGGGAATGTTCGTTTTCCCCCATTCACCTAGACTGTGAGTTCTTTGAAGGAAGAGCTGAGTTCTTAGTCTTCCCAGGGTCCTGCCCAGGGCTGGACACAGAGTGCATTCCTTCCATGTGTTCTGATTGATTTTGAGTCCCAGTGTTTTACCTTTTTCATTCCAACTCCATCCTGTATCTGCAGAAAGAAATCTAATGTCTGGTCATCAGTGAAATACCCAGGAGCAGGTTGGCTGCAAACAGAGACAAAGGAATAATAAACAGTGGAAAAGGAGCAGTGACCCCTTCCCTCCCCTCTCTTGCACCAGCCACAGACATCAAGCAACTGTTCTAGGCAACTCTTCAACATGGGAAAGTTGGTCAGAGAGAACAGCAAACACGAGGGAGAGCACACCACAAACCTGCGCAGGCCTTGCAGGCTCAGCTTCCAGTGAGGCGTAAGATCTTGCCCCCGAAGCAGGACCAGGCCTTGTCTGGTTGTGATCAGGAGGTTGCTGCAGTTGGAATCTGGTGCCTTCACCATCTGGAGAAGCTCAACTCCATCGCTGGACCAAACAAAACCTCAACAGTTAGTCTCTGGCATGGAGGAGATTCCTTTTATCCCCTACTGTATGAATGTTTACACAGACAGTTGTCACTTAGCATTCATGTGGGAACTGGTGCCAGGATGCCAGTTAATATACCACAATTCACAGATGCTCATGTCCCTTAACACAAAATGATACGGTCTCTCCACGTAATCTATATCTTCCCGTGTGATTTAAACCATCTCTAGATGCAATGTAAATAGTTGCTATACTACACTGTTCAGGGAATATTGACAAAAGAGAAAAAGATTATAGATATGTTCAGTACAGACACAATGTCTTTTCCCAAATATTTTCACCTATGTGGACCCCCAGGATATGGACAGCCGGCTACTCCTGGGTCTACTTCCTACCATGGTCTTACCAAATGGGACACTTGGTCAATCCTGTTGAACCTCATTTTCCTATCCAGAAAATTCCATGCAAGTTCAAAAGGAACTCACAGGATAACACGATGCAATGCCTCTCACCTCAGACACTCTGGGGAAAGTCGCAGAGGCAACAGTAATGGCAGAGGAGAGAGACGGAGACTCTGATAGGAGGCCTGAAATCATCACTAAGCATGGACAGCAACTCTTGGCAGATGCTTCATCAAATCACTTATTTCTCTAGTCAATACTTATCTACTCAATACTTGTCAATTTTACTAAAAAAACGTGATCATGCCTAAGAAAATACTAACTTCCAGCAGAAAAGAAGAAAACAATTATCACCCAAGCCAAGAGTTAGTTACATGTGTAAAATTCACTGCGTATGACAACCACATACTTTTAGTTAGGAGATAAACACAAATAAAAACAAGGTTTCGTGCACCTTGCTTCCATCGACATCATTCTTTTTTTATTTGTATTTTATGTTTATGAGTATACTGCCTGCATGGATGTAAGCGCACCCATGTTGTACGATGCCCTCGGAGATCGGAAGAGGGCATCAGATCTCCTGGAACTGGAGTTATGGACAGTGGTTAGTTGCTGTGTGCGCTGGAGATCAAACCCAGGTCCTCTGGAAGAGCAGCTAGTGCTCTTAACCACTGAGCCATCTCTCCAGCCCACAAAATGACTCTTTAGCTGAGAGGAAAATAAAACTACAGGGAAGAATAGGTCAGTGATTTTACAAACCTTTACAAACAGTTGGGTTTTTACATTTACTTTTTATTTTATGTGTATGCATGTATTGTCTGCATGTATGTAAGTGCACCCATGTCATGCAATGTCCACAGAGGTCAGAAGAGGAGTGTTGAATCCCTTGGAACTGGAGTTACAGATGGTTGTTAGCTGCCATGTGGGTACTGGGAATTGAACCTAGGTCCTCTGGAAGAGCAGCTAGTGCTCTTAACCACTGAGCCATCTCTCCAGCCCTACAAACATTTGTTTTAGTAAATATATCTTGCTACCTGTTCTGACTTAAAACCATAAGTCAATATTGTTTCTTGTAATTCAGGTATGAACTAATCATACGTCATGGTCACCAACACAGAGATGCCAACACATGATGTGACCAAGAAGAAGATTCCTTACTCATTTTAAGAGTTGGTATTTTGAGTCCAGCTCTGCTTCCCTCAAACCTCTGTCCTTCATCACCAGTCCACCCAATATCAGACTCCATGGTGTATAAGTTCCCAGAGATGTCCCCATGACCAAAGACAGACAGCAGCCCTACCTGTAAACATCAATGAGCTCAGACAGGTTGACAGATCTTCGCTTCTCCCATCCTGGTTCTTCGATCTGCAGAGAAGGTGGTGAGCTGTCTCGATTCTGGGCCTGAACAAAAATGTCCCGCAGGGCGACAGCTTGTATGTTTCCTAGCACCAGAGGAAAAATCAACACTGAGAAATTGGGTTTAATAGAAATATCCCAGGGTCTGGGTAGAAGACACAGAGCCAATCAGATGGGTCTAATGGAGTTCACTTGGGCTGGTCCCACAGTGATGGGGAAGTGATCAAACAGATGCTGGGCAGTCTCCTCTCCAGAGAAGGCGTCAAGGGAAAGTAGAATCAATGAGTGGCAATGGGTGAGAGGTTCCACAATAGGAGACCATGGAAGGGAGGGAAGCTAGCACTAGCAAGCCCAGAGTGAGTGTTTGCCTTGTCTTACAGGCAGGCCTAGCCACCTACAGCAGGGGAGCCAAAATCAGCCTTGCTTCTTACCAAAGCCAAACAGGATGTAGACCGCTCCACTGGCAGTGATGTAAACCTGGGGGCCAATCAGATTCCCCACTCCCACGATGTTGTACTTCACAGGTCGGCCCACTGGACTTCCTGTCCGGCCAGACACCAGGAGAAAACACAGATCTGGCTGATGAAGAAAGATATGCAGAGTCGGTGAAAGCCCTTCATTTCCTAACAAAACAACTGCCCCACAGAATCCTTACTGTCTCATGAGTTAAGGGCTCAGCAACACGTCCCAGGGTTGAAAACCACAAAGCCAAACTCTCTTCACTTACTTCTGTGGAAGTAAGAAATAAGGCAAAAGCTCATTCCTTGATAAGGTATGTATGAAGGGCATCTTTAAGATACCCCAGGTTCTCTGAAGCATAGTGCTTGCTAACTGCAAAATTTCCCAAGGCCTAGAGCTAACCACAGGAGGGCTGATATAGGCAGGGACTTTACTTCCATACCAGGTGTGCTGGATAGCTTTAGTTGTCAACTGGACACACCTGGGAAGTGGGATCCTCAATTGGGGAACTGCTTCTATTGGACTGGCCTATGGCCTTGTCTGTGGGGCATTTTCTTGATTGTTGAGTGATGTGGGAGGGTCCAGCCCACTGTGGGCAATGCCATCCCTGGGCAGGTGGTCCTATGTTATATAAGAAACAAGGCTGAGGGGTTAAAGAGATGGAGCAGCAGTTAAGAGCACTGGCTGTTCTTGCAGAGGACCCAGGTTCAAATCTCAGCACCTACATGGTAGCTAACAATTGTCTGAAAGTGTCCAGTTCCGGGGATCCAACACCCTCTTCCGTCCTCTATGGGCACTGCACAACACGGGTGCACTTAACATATATGCAGGCATAACACTCATATGCATAAAATAAATTAGAGAGAGAGAGAGAGAGAAGGAAAAAAAGAGAGAAAGATGGAAAAGAAAGCAGGCTGAGTACTGGCCAGGGAGCAAGGCAGTAAGCTGGGTTCTCCATGGTCTGTGCTCCAGGTTCCTGCCCTGAGTTCCTGCCTTGGCTTCCCTTGTTGCTGAACTGTGAGCTGTAAGCCAAATAAATCATTTCTTCCCCTAGTTGGTTTTGGTCAGTGTTGTGCCACAGTAATAGGAATTAACTAGGACAAGACCTAAATTAAATCCAAAGCCGTCATGTAAAAACTAAGCAAAGGCTCCGGCAGGAGAATCCTTGGGGCTTCCTGGCCAGTCAGTCTAGCAAAATCAGTGAGCTCCAAGTTCATTGAGGGACCCTGCTGTAAAAATAAAGTGGAGAGTGTTAGAGGCAGACTCTGGACATTGAACCCTGGCCTCCATGCACGTACACACATATGCACACAAACAGTAATATTCATTTTTCTTCCTTGTCTTTTCATGGATTTATAGCTCATTTCTTTTTAGAACCTAAAAGAATTCCATTGTCTGGATATACCATAGGTTATTCATGTAGTCACTGAAGGACATCTTGGTTGCTCCAAATGTTGTCAAATATGAATAAAACCACCATATTCCTGTGTATGTTCCTGTGTGGACATAATTAT